ATATATTGTGTTTTTCACTCCTTTCTTTTCACTCAAATACAACAATGAACTGGCAGCAACTTCAAACGCGATTGAAAATCCGTTAATAGTGATTATTTACCAACAGTTTTTAATATGAAGGGTAACAAATAAATAAATTGGACCCAAATATGTTTTTGTAAAACTACAAATGAGAATTTTAGCAAATATTGTAACATGAATATTGAGACATGATAATCATTACAATATGAACTCACTGTGGATTAATTCTCAGCTGTATTGATGTTGTTCTGTCAGAGTTACACTGTTGTCACGTGGTAACAACGTGCTGAACAGAAACGATTCTTTATTGATGCATTTTAAGAAGCTTCGACTTCTACTGAAGCCACAAACTCCCCTAAAAAAACCCACCCCATCACTAAAGTGTCATACAGTTGTTGCAGTAAGTGAGGAGGTTTCCCTGCAGCGTGAGCAGCTCCGTCGGAGGTCGGTGACTCACCCTTTGTGCAGCAGCTCCAGCTTGATGCCTTTAGACGCCACCACCCTCCTGAAGCCGCGGTGGTTACGGTTGATTGACAGGGTGAAGCTCTGGTTATATTCTGGAGAGAAGAAGAGATTAAGGATGAAGAGGTGCAGCGTTCTGAGACGTTAAATAAAAAGTGTTTCAGACAAATGAATAACCAATAAATACAGTTTGTTTTTGTATTTTTCTACCTGAAAACATGTAAATTATAGTTTTATTATTACGGGAGTAAGTATAATATTTTCAGTATCTGTAATTCTACTTGAGTGAAGAATGTGTGCACTTCTGTCACCTCTGATGTACTGAGGGTTTAATCTTCAGACAATCTGAAGAGATGTTAACAAAGGACAGTCGATACCTTCAGTGCCTAATAAACGATGTGGTAAAATATTCTGAAAATAAAATCTACACACATCCACGCTGTTGACACAAACAGACAGCGATGGTCATGTCCCACCTGGCGAGTTAGTGTTCTTGATGACAGCCGTTTTGTGTTTCTGCGGCTGCTCCTGGTGGCAACAAAAACGGGAAGAACAAACAGTTTCAGGAGAAAAGTCGGCCGTACGAACCGTCACAGCGAGCACGTGGTTGACTGAGAGAATGGAAACGAGCTGAAGTCTCTTACCGCGCTCGGGTAGGGGAAGTCAAACTTTACGTAGGCATCCAGATCGTTTGTTTGGATTCCTGAAGGAGAAAGTTTGTCACGAAGCAAAGTTAATAATCATCATGGCAACTCAATTTAAGAGAGTTTTACTTCAAACTGAAAACAACAACAAACACAAAAAGAAAAATACAAAATGAAGATTCAATGTTAAAATTTCCACCAGAAACAGTGAAAAAACATAATTTTAAGGCTTCTTTAATTGAACTGAAGGTATAAAACACCACTTTTCTGTTTTCAGAACAGTTTCATGTGAACCAACCGTACAGTGTCTATAAAGGACTGATAGGTGAAGCTTTTTGTTTTTACCACTAGGAGCTGGAAGATTCATCCCTTTGACAATAATGACAACCATGTCAGTGCTGCTCAGCTCCGGAAATATCCTGAAAGGGAGCGAAAGAAGAAAGAAAATACAGAGTTTTACTGCCTTGGCATCTACTTTAAGTACAAATAAAGTTAAAGTGCTTCAGCAAGAAATAACAAGAAGGGTGAAGGAGAACATCAGAGGTGACATTTAACGCAGCCCGGTACAACAACAGCACTAATTATAACCTCAATAATAAACATAAAGCTGAATTAACAGCAGTCAGAGAAGGTAAAAAAACACTGAGCATTATAATCTTCTTAAATGTAGAATTTGTAGCAGATCTGTTGTATTGGATTGTATTAAATTGTACCTCATATAAAATGGCCAGGGAGTGGATATTTTTAAACATTCAATACCTTTATAACATGAATCAGAACTTGTCAGGACTTGAGAACATTTTTCAGTTTAATCAGCGTTTCTCAAACTCATTACACCACGTGTAAAATATCAACAACAACAGGATCATATGCCGACTTATTCATCTAACGACAGCTCACACAGGAGGCAGGTTTATTCCTAATAATAAGATTATTTATTGTTGACTGATATTGAGTGTAATCGGTTCAAGAACCAGAGCTAACTGGTGAAAAACGTCGTACGTCTGGTCCACACATCTCTTCCTAATAGTTCCTGTTTCTGAACCATTTATTTTTCCTCCACTTACTATCTTACCATCACATTTTATCTCGTAGCTAATTATGGACGTATGCACGTGTATGTGCATGAACATGAGTACGTAGCAGACTAATATTAAAAAGAAAAAGAAAACAGGAAGTTATTATTTATTCTTTTAAATTACATTTCAGTGATATTATAATTTAATATATGTATTAGTCAGTATTGTGTTTTTAAATTACTTTATTTTATTCTTAAAAAAATATTTCAGAAGTTCCTCTACGTACCACTGGAGGCGGCTGGCGTCCCACCAGCGGTACACGTACTACAGTTTTAGAACCAGCGATCTAAAGTAAAGCGCCCACCTGACGGTGTGAAACGACCTCTCCTCAAAGTGATGTTTAGGAGGAGGCAGACCTCTCGACTGCGCCAGCTTCAGCACCTCCAGACTCTTCTTACAACTGTCCGCCATCTTCTCAAACCTGCAGCACACACACACACACACACACACACACAAACACACACACATACAAACACACACACAAAAGGCGGAGACAAAGTGAGACAACTCTACATCGAAAAGAAATGAATGAGTTGTTTTAGTGTTGTCTGAGTATTAACTGAGAACTTGTGGGTTTGTCTGACAAAACATCTGATAACATCACTTTGAACTCTTCTAGATATAATCCAATTTAATCCAAATAGATGTACTTTCTCCGGTGTTATAACGGAGTTTGGAGTTTGTATGTAAACTTAAAAACTGTTCACTGCTTACTTTGTTGTCTCGGAGACGTTCCCCAGGTGTGTGAATTGCTTGGAGTGAGTCATACATTTCTGAAAGGAGGAAAGAAATCTCAGAGATCTCAAGGAAAATGTTTGTCTTCACAACAAGAACAGAACAACGTGTGTGGAGCAACGAGACGGATTAGAGTTTCTTCTGGGGGATCTGGGACTTAAACATTGAAGAAGTTTACTTGGATGACAAAAATGTTAAAAGTGGTAATAAATATCTTATCACTGTGCAATCGATAAGCTGAAATTCCTAATTTTGTATATATAAATAATGTTTTTATTAACCCATGAAGATGACAAACATCAATGTTATTTAACAGCTCGACCTAATTTAACTTTTATAAACTTCACATCATTTGAATTTTTATTTTAGAAAAATGTTCAAGCTTCCAAATTCTGCTGAGAAATATAAGTTAATCCAATTTCAAACACGAGCTGTGGTTGGAAAATAAATACTAACATACTTTTCTTCTCAGGTATTTTAAAATAATTATCTTGATTAACGGTGGACACATCGTAATAATCTGTAATCGTGGATATTTTTCCGTCCTCTTCCTGCAGTTTTACCTCATACTGCTCTTTGAGGATCTTTGCCAGCTGTGTGTAAACCTGCTCTGCTTTCTCTGAGATCTGCACGTCACTATGATGAACCAGGATGAAGTCCTCGTCTTCGTCACCAGGGGGCGACGGCACCTGCAGGTACAGGACAGAGAGAGAGTGGTTGGTTATTATTTAGTACCAATTCAGTGACATAACTGACTGTGGTTTCAGGTTTAGAAAGCTCTTCCCGCTTTTAATTACTGATGAATTAAAAATCCTAATGCATGTTTTGTTTTGCCTCGTTTTATCTCTGAATATGACATTTTTTAAGTCACTGCTCTTGGTTGCACTGACACACCATAAAAGAGTTATTTTAGTGAGAGAAAAAAAAAAAACTGAGACAATTTCCCACACACAGGAAACAGGCGGTTTCTTCAACAGAAGAATAAACGCAGCTCAATTAATCAAACTGTGAGATATTTTTCTTCCAACTGAGTCACATCTGAGCTCATTTTTCTAACATTTTTTAATTACTTGAACAAAAACAAGCAAAAAAACAATGTAACAAATAATCATAATCACCCCCTACTCTCATCCAAATCAATTTCCACTGACTGATTAAGGCCCATTTATAACCCCAAAAGTCTTCACTTGACTGCCAGTAGCAGAGAAGATCTGCTCACCGTGCTGATGTCCACAGTTTTGCCGCTGCGTGCTGCTTCGATTATCGGGTCGAAGCCCTTGGCGGCGCGGAGGAAAACCTTGGCCTGCTCCATGTCGTTCTTCTGCTTCGCCTGCAGAGCCGCCTTCATGTACTGCTTCTTCCTGCCCTCCAGGAACTCCAGCTGCTGAACCGCTGGAGGACGAAGAAAGAGAGGAAATACCAAGTAAAACAATTGTAAACAAGCAGATGTAAAGCAAATTAATTAGGTAATAAAAGTTAAAGCTACACATTCAATCAAGTTTATTAATATAGAACGTTTGAAACAACCAGAGTTGACCATAGTGCTGTACAAATCAAAGTGAATGTCACATCAACAGCAAAGACACGTTGAAACAGTAGTAAAAAGGCACAAAATATATACAAATACAAGGCGATATCGAATATGTGCGCAAATGTGAAACAGAAACAATAAAACTTGAATTACTATAAACTGAGTTCTTAAAATTGTAAGAAGGACGAACCTCAACCATTCTCAATTCTTATACATAAAACATGATTACTTCTATAACTGGATGAGGTCCTGTACAAGTAAACCAGAGGCTCAGTAACACCTTCAATTTAACAACCTTAAAATATACAATTTACTGTCATATATGATAATAAACTGTCACTTTTGAAAAGCTAAGAGAATATTTAGAATTTTCTTCTTGAAAAATTACTGCAACAATTAAACATTTATAGTTAATAGTTGCAGATTGTTGTTGATCAACTAATCAATCAGCTAATTGTATCAGCTCTAATTAGTACTGGTGTGTATTCTCATTTCTGTGCAGTGTTTTGTTAATTTTTGTCTCTGTGTGACTTCCTGTTGATGTTCGCTGCTACAGAGACAAACGGTTTATTTAAAAAATCTTCTCTCTCTATCTCGGTCACACCAGAGGTTGAACGTGTGTCTCGGAGTGTATTTGGAGGACGTGTTACTTCCTTTTTGGACCGACCTGTTGGTGAGAGTCCGTCCCTGGCTGCTGTTCTGTCAGGTGACGCTGACGGAGTCCTTTTCCTTCCTTGACCAGCGTTTAACGTGGGCTTCTGTGGAACAGCCGGCTTAGACTAAACACAAAACAAATATCAACAATTTATCCACAAAAAAAACAACAACTTCTAAAATAAATTATAACATACTGATGATAACCCACCTCCTCTTCCTTCTCTTCATCTTCTTCTTCATCTGCTATTTCGGTAGCATCGGTGGAGGTAAGTTTATCAGCTGCCACCAGAGCAGCGACGAAGCCCTGCTCGGCTCCTGTCGCCTTCTGGCCCGGGATCGGAGGAAAACCTGAAAGATGTAAAAGTTCTCATTCTGACGCTGCGATCTAGATTTACTGTTTTGGTCAAAAAGGACAAAAACACGTCTTGTGGCGCCGCTACAGAGACTCACTGACAGCACACAGTTAACACCTCGGGAATACAGGACCAGCAGCACAAATCCAATTTTACGGAGCTAAATGTAACTCGGAAATTACCCTCAACTTAAAAACATGAGTCATAAAAGAATCTCACCAGGGGGAACCGGCAGCTCCTCAAAGTTTACTGCTTTTCCTGCTTTGTGAGCTCGGATGGCGCTCTGGTATTGCTGCAGGAGAAGAGAGGGTAAATCACTGTACACAGCAGAGCTAATGCTAATGTAATGGGGGTAAAAAGAGGAGAGATTTGTTGCTGTAAAGTGCTCGAAGTATAATATTTCTGAGTTGTTGTTTTGTCCATTCTTAGTTTACTTTATTCATACCCATATACTAAAGACACAAATGTCTTTCATTGTGTCTTTAAAGGTCCAGTGTGTAACATTTAGGCTCTACTGTTAGATGTGGAATATAATATGCATAAATATGTTTTCATTGGTGTATAATCACCTGAAAATAAGAATCTTGTGTTTTTGTTACCTTAAAATAAAGTTTTTTTAAACACTGTTATACTAAATGAATATTTTCCACTTTTTGTAACTTGTTTCACAGCTGAATTTTATACTGATGTGCCAGCTTTGTTGTATTTATTACACCAGTAACTGAGAGATAATCGTGTATAAAGACTAACACAGTTTTAGTAGAAGAGTTCTGTAAAAAGTAAACACAGACATCATGAGGAGAGTCTCTCCTCGTACCTTGGCGATGCGGTCGTGCATTCGGGCCTTGCGGTCGTCCCCACTGGCTTTGGCCTGATTGGACGCCTCCACATACTTGGCCCATCTCTGCTCGAGAGCCTCCAGCACGTCTTTGGGAGCTGCGGGGGCTGATGGGGGGTCAGAGGCTGAGGGGGGTGAGGCAACAGCGTTTAATTTCTCCTCTAGAGACTGAATATCTGTCACAATATTCATGGTAATGCACCCAGTAGCTGTTGAGAGATTTCAGTCTGGACCAAAGTTCAGCTTATTTTGTTTATTTGCCAAAATAAACTGAACCTGTGATTGTTGAATATAACCACAGAGATGTTTGACTGAATTAAAACTAGTTCTGTTCACTCATTACCATCTATTATCAGCCGTGTAAACTTTTGGTGAACGTATTGTTGTTTTTATTACAAACAGCCTCTGTGGGCGTTCTGTGCACAACACCAGCAGTGTGTTTTCTTCTCTTTGAACTCACCTCTTGTGTTAACCCTGAAGCTGACATTAGCTGGTTGATGATAAATACAGATAAGAGAAGTAGGAGGGTAATCGGAAACAGAACTGCACGACTTCACAAAAACAAACGTCACCACAACAATACAAGCAAATACATATCGTTAATGAAAGTTGATATTATTATCACCTGGAGCTGCTGCAACCGGTTGGGTGACCTCTGTTTTTTGCCCCGGGGACGTTTCCTTCACTGAACCTAAACACACAAGATTATTTAAAACATACAGAAGCAGGTACAACAGGCTTTATTGACTCTGCAGAAGATATTTCTGGAACCTTTGGTTATATATTTCCTCATCTACATTTCCTTTCCTGAAAGATCCTCGTGACCACTGTTGGATTTCTAGAATAATTTATGTACTATATATTATTATATATATATAATCCGGGCTTTCAAACATTTAAAATGTTTATTGTTCTGCTGTTGCTCCTGGTTTTTTTTTATCTTGCTACAATACTTTTTTTTTAAATAATCTTAAAACCCATTTATTCTTGGATGTTTCTTGGAATTTGAATTGGATTTATTGTGTTTTATACACTTATTTGTCCTTATTCTCTTCTGTATCTTATATTTCCCACAATAGTCCTTCTGTGTATCACCTTATAACTTCTGTTTTTAAAAGAGCTATACTATACTAACATAAAAACACTTTAATACCATCGTTCCTTACCCTGTCCGGGAGATGGAGGAAGGCCACTCAGGTCGACTGCTTGTCCTTTCTCCAACGCCTCAATCACTGCATCGAACCTCTGCGCCAAAAAATACCAAAAAACCCAAACTCTGTCAGACATAATAATGGTCTTTGTTCACTTCCAAATTGTTGCCATGTTTCACATACTTCAGAGAGAAATCCTGCAGCCAGAATATGCAGCAACAGGCTCAGACAACAGACTGCACAGACAACGACTGTAACTGTATGTTTGACTATAAATATTAAAAAATAAATATTTCTAAGACATACAAAACATGTAATTTGGGTTAGTTTCATGACTGATGTCTGGTATATAAACTTATATAAAATGTTGATATAAGTTAAAAGTACAGGAGGACCATAACTCTGAACAAGAACAAGGAAAATATGAGTTTTATTTTGCAATAATCCTGTTAAAAAACAATGTGTGTCAAACAGTCGATTGTCACAAAGCAGCTGCTGCTACATTCCTACAGCAGAAACTTGCTCTGCTTAGCAAAATACTTTGAATGCCGCTTCCAGTTCCAGCAGAAACAAGGCTCCATTATGTGCATTTAGCTTGCAGCGATATAAAAGGTACAGAAAACGTAACGGAGAGAATGAAGGAAGTCGTTTGACTTTATAGACAAGTGTAACCCAGCAACTATACATGTTATTTAATTATTAGGAAAGGACGAGAGAGATTTTACCTGCTGATACAGGATGCTTGCCAAAAGCTCAAAATAAATAAAGATAATTTGAATTTTTATCTTGAAATTTCAAAAACAAAGAAGTCCAGATTCTAAAAGGACTTTATCAGGTTACACATTATTTATAAAACGCTGGCACACAACTGAGAAAAACATTTTCAGAATATTAAAATTCATGCAAAACAACACTGCTGATACAAATTTCTGCACAGGAGGTTTGTTGTCTTTCCATTCACCTTGCTGGTCTTGAAGTAAAGCCGAGCTTGCTCCACGTCTCCCTGCTTCTTGGCTCTCAGAGCTGCCATCTTGTATTCCTTCTGCCTCTCCAAGAGCAGCGTCCTGGTTGCCTCGTTCGCTGTGGATTCACGGGACAGAAACACACAACAATTACCGCAGTGAAAAGGTCACATGCATCTCATATTGAGGAGCTAGAAAAACAACCACTTTCCCTCTAGAATGTAATATATCTGTCAGACAGATAAACTGAGTGTGTTGATTAACAATTAATACGAGGAAGAGAGGAATTCCCATTGCTTGTGACTTAACTCCTATTAAAATCAGTGTATTGTATATAAACTGGAATACATAATGGGGGAATTGTTTTAAAGATCAACGTATTGAAATACAGTTTACGTGTAGATGGTTATTTAGCGTGGTGTACTAACATTTAACCAACTCGTGTCTAATTTAGGGCCAAATCAACAATCCTAAACATGAGCCCC